CCCCTGCCACATGAATCACAAGATACCTGGTGAATATGTTGTCAATTTATTTTTCTTAAGATAATTCCTCAGTTGTTTTTAGTAACAGGGGTTTTTGCTATATAAACATTGTCTAACCTGCACAGAGAGAGCTCTCATCTGCTGACATCGGATTCTGCACTGCATCCAGCTTTCCTGTGTGTAAGTCACCCCCATTAATAAATGTCTTTGTATATATAAGTGGAGCTGCCCACTTCCTTCTTCATTCTCAAAGTAACCTCTCAATTTGGTGGGCATTATACTTTAACTCCTTCCTTTCACACCTTCCTGTGGAGAAACCCCAGTTCTGGGCTGACCCTGGCCCCAGGCCAGGTAATAGGTATTTCATTCCTGTGGCCTCAGTGATTGTTCCAGGCAAAGACATGGGCACCAAGCCAGCCTGGCAATGTCCTCCCCTGGGACACTCCTGCTAGAGCCAGTGAGAACAAGATTTTCTCCTTTTCTAGGAAAGTGGATGAACTGCACGAGAATGGAGGTAGCCAGCACAGGGGAGCCAAACTGGAGAGACAACCCTGAGGACAAGGGTGACCCTGGATCTGCCATGCTCTCACTTGGCAGTTGCCTTAGTCAGCTAATCCCTTTACTTAATCTGGCTTGACTTTGGTTTCTGTCCCTCCCAATGTCTGCTTTACCTTTGTAGTCTGTGTCAAACAGTGTCTGGCACATAGTGGATATTCAAAATTACTTGCTGTAAGCCTGAATGAGCACCTTTTGGGGTCTACCCCAGAAGCTTTATCACCCTCTGCTGAGGGCCCCAGTCATGTTGAGCTGCTCAATTGCCCCTCCACCAACCACTCCTTATGCCTGCCTCAGCTTTTGCTCTTATGGCCTCTGTCTGGGGACATCATCTCTTCTCTCTTTTAAGGTCTGACTCAATTGCTTCTCTGGGAGGCTCCCAATTACTGGGATCTAAACTGATAATCTTGTTCCTGTGAATTTTGCTTTCACAATGTGGGGACAGCTCATGTTGCACCTAAACAAAGTAGCAGCTCCTGGAGGGAAGGAGGTACGTGCACCTGGTCCATCCCCCTGGGGCCTGCCATCAGACTTCTTCATGTGGGGTGGCTCGCTTGTGCCTCCAGGGCCAGGATGGTGAAATCTGTCACTGACACAGGCCAGCTAGGCATGTGTCCCCTAAAGCAGGCAGCTCAGCTGACTGTGATCCTGAAGAAATGAGGGCCCTAGATTTTTCCAGAGAAGCAGAAATCCAGATTTTTATGTAAAATCTCCTGTTTTTTAAAAATTAGCAATTAAGTCAATTTGATAAACAATATATAGGTCAAGCAAATCCAAGGTCCACCTGGCTGGGTTCAGCCCCAGGGCTCCCCCTGGAGACTCTGCTGGGGATGAGGCACAGATGAGTGGACAGATCCAGGGCCAGGGCTGCAGCGTGCAAGCATGCAGGGTGCAGGCATGCAGGGTGCGACCTGCATCAGACGCCGGCTGAAAGCTGGTGCTTCACTCACCGGGTCACACCACCAGCTGCAGTGCTCTGTCCAGCCAACCGAGGGGCTGGTGGCTTCCGAAGCAGGTGGTTTCTCCATCGCTGCACTCAGGTCCTTCCCTCACTAATGCTTTCCAGGATGGATGTAAATACATGTAAAGAGGCCTGGGTCTAATGTGAACAACACATCCTGGTTTGCCTGGGACTTTTCGGTTTTAAATCTGAAATTCGCACACCCCAGGAACTCTCTTGCTTGGAGGCAAACCAGGATGGTTGGTCACCCTCCCTGGACCCCTGGTCCCACTATGTTCCCATCCTGCTGGAGGATAACTATAATGGCAGCTGATGCGTATGAGCTTCTTGAGTGCCAGACACCGTGCATTAAGCCTGCATGGTTTCCCTAGATCTTATGACACCCCATCCTGCTGGAGGATAACTATAATGGCAGCTGATGCGTAAGAGCTTCTTGAGTGCCAGACACCGTGCATTAAGCCTGCATGGTTTCCCTAGATCTTATGACATCATCACAGTGGGGATTAACGATCTCTGTTCTACAGCTGAGGAGTGCAGTGACTTGCCCAGGGCAGCGGTGCACTGGGGTTTGAACAACCACATTGGTCTGAGCAGTGCTCTCATCCTCACGATCTTCTCCTGCCCCTCAGAGTGCCACCTCTGGGCAGCCCGAGCCTGCTGGGCCAGCCTAGACCCTGGGGAAGGCTTGGGACTCAGTTCCTCAGGAACTTACCCAAGCAGAGGTCCACTCTGGATTTCCCCACACCCTGCCCCTATCCCTGCCCAGGATCTTCTCTCTCTACACATTTATCCCCTGCCCCTGAATGACACAACCCGAGATGCCCTCAGGGGACTCGCTGTGGAAATTCCAGAATGCCCTGAGCCCCTCCTGTCCTTTCACCCTGTTGCCCACTGCATGCACAAGGGGTGAGACTGGCACTTAGAAAATAAACGCTCGCTGGTGATTTATTGCTTGGGCTGGGAGAGCCATCAGGGCAGGGGTGGGCAACGGAGCGGGGCATGAGGGTCCTGGTGTCTTGGGAGGCTGCTGAGCCAGTCCTCGGGGGCCTGTGCGGGGGTCTATTCACAGTTGGGGCCAGCACGGGCCCGGCGCGGGGTGAGGTGGGGCATGAGGGTCCTGGTGTCTTGGGAGGCTGCTGAGCCAGTCCTTGGGGGCCTGTGCGGGGGTCTATTCACAGTTGGGGCCAGCACGGGCCCGGCGCGGGGTGAGGTGAGAGGTCAGGTAGCGCAGGGCTGAGCGGAGGCCCTGCAGGGTCCTGCGCTCCACCGTCCCCAGTGTGTGGGTGACCAAGCGCAGGGCCGAGCTGGTCCCTGATGCCAGCCCGGAGGAGAAGGCTGACCTGGCGCTCCCCAGCAGGCTGGAGACCGAGCGCAGGCTGGGCCCTGCGCTGTGCAGCAGGTCTGTCACGGAGCTGTGGTCGGAGGCTAGCAAGCCCACGGCCACGCCCATGGCCACGGTGGTGTCCGGCCACACGAGGATGTCCGCCAGCGAGCTGGTGGTGCCCTCGCCCCCACCCAGCAGGCTAGTCATGGAGCGCATGTAGTCGTCCTCACTGGCCATGTACAGGTTCGAGTCTAGGAGCCTCCTTCCCAAGGCCACCTGGTAGGGGTCGGGTGAGTTGGGGGTGCTGCCTCCCGGGGAGGGAGGGGACGGCCAGGGCTGCGGATCCCTTGAGCTGTCCACCAGATCCTCCTCCATCACCATCGGGGGCTCATCTGATGGCAGAGCTTCGGTGCCAGGGTTTGAGGCCTTTGAACCCTCAGCTTTCTCAGCAGCCTCTGGGACACTGGTAGCCTGAAGGTCAAGCTGACCATTGGCATCTACAGCGGACTTTTCAGCAGCACTCGTGGTGGGCGAAACCTCCGCATTTTGGGCAGACTGCACCTTAGCGCCCGGGCTGGATGGAGCTAATTCCGGCTCCCTGCTGGGAGCACTGGCCACTTGTGGTGGCTTTTCCTTCCCCAGGGAGTCATTTGGGAAAACCACTAGACTCTGAGTTTCCCTTGCATCTGGAACCTGCCTGTCCCACACTGGGTTATGCAGGCTCATGGACCTTTGCAGGTGACTTAGGTCTTGTGGAGACATGATCTCTCCAGGCTTGTCCTGGCTGTTGCCTGAAACATCTCCATACTTGTCTTCGTCCCCAGAAGTTGACTTGACCTCGGAGGTGGCTGTCTTGAAGGAGGCCTGATTTACATCTTGTCCTTCAGCAGATGCTGCAGTGCTGCTTGTCACTGAGACATCTGCAAGAAGAGGGCCCTGACTTTGGGAGCCCCCTGCCGAGCCGTCTGCAGGCTTGCTGTCAGCCACCTTGCCCAGGGAGGCCTCGGGAGTTTCATGTGTGGAGTTGCTGGTGGCTCTGGCTTCTCCCGAGGGCACGATGTTCATCTATGCCACTTGTGGTGGTTCAAGGAGCCACGGCCCTGCTGGGCTGAATTGTCCAGATAGTGAGGTCACAGGGGGCTGTGGGCAGCTGGTGATGTCACAGGCACCTGTAGAGCAAGGGTCTTGAGCCTCTGGAGCAGCTGCCCAAAGTGGACTGAGTCCATGGGACAATTTGTAGTCAAGTTTGCAGGTACGTAGGGAAAGAAAGACAAATGTTTTGGGAAAGGGTAGAGCTGTGTGTGTGGTGCAGGTGCAGCCACAGGGTCATGATGATTGTGACTTTGACGAATGAGAAGGGAATGCAGGTGTTGATTCAGAATCAGTGTTTATAAGGGACCCCTCCTGGCACCTGTGTGCTTCAAGACCCCAATTTAGCTAGCCTTTCTGCAGGGAATCAGTTTCCCAGCAGTGGTGGGTAGGAATAAGCAAAGATCAAGAGCCTGGGCAGCTCCAGCCCTGACCATCTTGGGCTGTGGGATTAACCCTTTTGACACAGAACAGACAATCCCCATCTTTTCCCTGCTCAATTGGGCTGGGAGAGAAGAAAATAACAAAAGATCCACCAACCCCAGAGTATTCCTTGGAAAATCGTAGACCCAGATGAACCTGCCTATGCTTATGGTCTTCATTAAGAAGGTGATTGGAGTAGAAGGTTCCAGTCTGTTGTATCTGTGCTTCTTCCGGGGTTATCAGCTAACACTTAGTGTGTGCAGGGGAAGGAGCTAAGCATTTAATCCTTCCAGTGACCGCATCTTCTCTAGGTAGGTACAGATCTATTATAACATCCATTTTACACATGGGGAAGCTGAGCCTCAGAAGGAATAAGTGACTTATTCAAAGTAACGCTACTCATAAGCACTGAATCTGGGATTTGAACCCTGTCTTATCTTCAGAACTCAAGCTCTTCAGCCCTGTCTTATACCCAGGAGGGACATTAAAACTATTGAATGACCGGCACGGTAAGGACACTGGCTAATGTGGACAGAAGCCTACCATCATAATGGGTCCCACCACAGCAGCAGGTAACAGCTGGTGCCAGCTTTGGTCTATACCGTCATCAGCATGGCCATAAATGTACAATCAATTCTCCCTGAAACGTTCTTCCCGCACCCTCTCCCATGCTGCCTCTGCTGGTCTCTGTGTCCTTCACTGGCTCCCTCCTCCCCCCTTCCCCCAAGATTAGGCTCTTCTATTTCTCCTCATTCCCTTCACACTCCTTTGACTGAATCCCTCCTCTGCCAACCTCAGTCTTAACCCTGTGAGGAGGACTCCACATCTCCTGAGCACCAGGCTCCATGCTCGTTAAGTATTCATTCTCCCCACGGACACCCTGCCGCCAGCTCAGAGGTCACGGGGTGTGAGGGACTAACTGGTACCACCTGTACCTTGTGACGGAATCATGGAGGAGACTGCTAGCTGCTCATCCTAGCGTCCTTCTTCCTTAGTGCCAGAACCCATTTATTCAGGGTGGCTATGTGCTCAGCTAAGAGAACCCGTTTCCCAGCCTCTCTTGCAGGTAGGAAAGAACACGTGGCCACGTTCTGCCTAATGAGAAGCAAGCAGAAAGCATCGTGTGGAGCTTCAGAAAGGATCCTTCAAAGAGCTGAGCACTTTTTTGCTCTTCCCCCTTTATGCCGTCCTCCTATCAGGAATGTGAAGGCTGGAGCACCAGCAGCCACTGTGGTCCATGAGGTAATCTTGAGGGTGAAAGACACATTAGGATGGCAGAGCACAAAGATGGAAGGAACCTGGGTCCTACTGTTGGACCCATCATACCAGCCACTAGACCAAACCGCTGCCAACCTCCAGAATTTGTGTGAGGGAAAATAACCACATATGTCCTCAAACTATTGTTATCTGGGGTTTTCTATTACGTGTAGCTAATCTTCATCCTCACCCAATTCTGATAATTATGAGATCCCTGTCAGTTGGTTGCTCGATATTTGCTTGAATACCTTCCTGTCCTAAACAATCAGGAGTGGCATGTCGCACTGCGTGTGGGCATGACTGGCCCTTGCACGTGTTATTTCCCCACTTTTCAGGCGAGGAAACTGGGACTTAGAAAAGCTAGGTACACAGCAGATTAAATGGTGTCTGCCTGACTCCAAAGCCCCTCCCCACACCCCCTGCTTCTAGTTA